CCTTTTGTCCTACCTGAGTGACGAATTCTACTCATACGTTTTTTTTTCTCATTTCTAATTTCACTTTGTCTACTCACCTCTTCAATCAGCCGATTGCCAAATATGCAGAAATGAAACACCTGCGCCAATGCATAGCCCAAGTAACCGATGACCGTGAATGCGTAAACATTGACGCCGGTGATCTTGGTGGCCTGATATGCCAACAACGTCAACATAATAGTGGATGTCAACATGTGTAAGAGCAAAGCGCCGCCGTACGTATCGCCGATGGCTGCGACTAATCTGTGAAATGGAATTGAAAATTTGCGCTATCCATTAAGTTGAGATGAATTGAAGTGATTGAAGGAGAAGGGAGAATGAGAAACAGAGATTGCATTGAAAAAAAAAAAAACCAAGTCAAAACAAAATAGCAAATAACAGAAAAAATGGCCGACTTGCTGGTGCCATTAAGTACATACTTATGTACATACATGAAATCTGGCAAATATGGATGTACATATTGATCGTATGCACATACATATGTATGTATGTATTAGCATAAGTAGAATGGTTATACATGTTTATCTATATAAGAACAGACATGCATGCAGAAATTTAAATCGAATGAGTATAAGTAAATGCCCTGCTGAAAAAAGGTATCAATTTATTAAAATAACCAACTTCTAGTTAGCTTTTTTTGTGGGATTTCGATATAACTAACTTTTAATAAGTTACGACAAAACTAACCTTAAGTTAGTTGTGAAGTCGTGCAGAAGTAATGCAGACGTTATCGGGAGTTTTCTTTACATGTATCTATTGGAATATCCTCATACAAAACTTACTTTGAATACACTCTTTTCTGCACTTCGCAGATTCTTTTCCGTATTCAGGACAAATAAAGTAAAGGTCGAAATTTTATATTATCATTTGGATGTTATGTCTGATCGAATTCAAATATGAGACCATTTAATGTTAAATTAAATAGGAAAATAGATAAAAAATATAACAAATTAAAAATAAAATTGTATTCATAGTTTATGTCCAAAAGTAGTTAGCTACAAGTTATTTGAAATCTAATGTAGAGGAAACGGTGACAGGAAATAAGATCAACGGAAATAAGGTCAATTGACTTTATTTCCCACCCTGGTGCGAAATACAGTCAATTGACATTATTACCTTTTTAAAAGCGAAATAAAATCTATTGACATTATTGCTCTTTCAAACATTAAATTTGCTTAGCTTCGAGGCGGCCCGCGTCCGCGCGATCCTCGCCACCAGGGTGGGAAACAAACACAATTGACCTTATTTCCGTACCTTATTTCTTGTTACCTGTCACCAGAGGAAACCATTTCACACTATTTTGTGGCCATCGCTCTTCAAAGTAGTTAGGTACGGCCAAAGAAATTAGTTAATAAATAGTTACCACTAGTCGACTGCTAGTTAGTAAATAGTTAATTACAAATTAGTCCCATTTCCTGCAGGGTAGCTGATAATAATGACCATAAATACATAAATAAGCAAACAAATAGATCCCACATACACATAAACACAGAGCCATATAGACACATGCGGACACACGAAATGCAGGTAATCTAATAAATACATACAATTAATTGTATAATCGGTTATTTATGGGAAAATTTGTGTACACATGCCTTGCATTCAGAGATGACATTGTTTTGATGCTATAAATTTTTGAGCATTAAATTAATTTAAGTAGCAGCCACATGTTTGTAATCAATTTTATTTATGTAAATTTAATTGTAGTTTACGATACTAATTAAAAGATATTAAACGCAAGAATTAATTAGATTGTTTGAATAGTGATTTCGAGTTCGTCGTGGCGTATGAGTACTATTGGAGCTGGGATCACTTAAGGTTAAGGCATTGGTTTAATTAAATTCAAAAATTTATTATTTGAAAAATTTGTTATTATTTATAAGTGAGATTCCGCTGAACGAATTGATTCGCATTCTCCGGATGGACGGAGTAAGGTTAAGGCTTCCTGGGAATGAAGACTTAGCCTCCACTGAAAATTCTAAAAAATTCAAATTTTTTGGCACGCCGCTCAATACCGCCTTACAGGTCTATTCTGCGAGTTATCGAACATTTTGTAGCCAGAAAATTTTATTACTCAAAATTGTTACCACTTCTTGTGACCGCAATTCTAGACACATTAGTAACACAGAGACTGCTAATAAATTTAGCAACTCAGCTATGGATTTTTATATGGTGTCGCATATATCAAGGAGCAAATACAAAAAAAAAGTCCAAAAATACATTTTAAGTATGAAATAACGTTTCACGTTTGTTTGTATTTCCATATACATACATACATACAGGGTGGGCCAAATAAGACTTACCATAGTCTGCCTAGTTTGCCATAGTTTGCCTTTCAGTGTGCGCAGTCGCTCCATCTTATTGGAACCACAAATAAGGATGCTGCTCTGCCGTTGGCCGCAAAAAGTTGTCAATCATTATTCTGTAAGAAGCTCCAGAAATCGTTTCTGGCGTTTCATTCCCATTCTCGAATAAACATTGGATCTGGATAGGTTTAACTGGTGCGTGTTGCCTTTCGATTTTCAGAGCCCCGAAATCTACAGTTTTGCTTGGAAATGCGCTTCATCTGACATCAAAACATTACCTAATAGTGTAAAACGAATAGGGTATTGTAGTCGTTGTTGGTGCTCTTGCTGTAAGTATCCATTGTCATTTTGCAAGAGATTAAGTATAACATGCAGAAAGAAAATAACAATAATATTAAAAAATTAAGAAGTTATACGTGTAGTTCTTATTTGGCCAACCCTGTAGTAGAGAACTATAAGAATGAGAATTTTGGAATAAAAAACCAAATTTTACAGCGAGGGTGTTGTTTTAATTCTTCCATAAACGGTGTAATAATTTATTGGATTTAAATAGACAACAAAATTACTCAATACAATATATTTTTGTATGGGGCCTTTAATTGTTTGCGAATATTATTGTTTAAAGGTAAAATGGCTCTTATATACTTTTTGTTGAACACGCTGAGAGCACATTACATAATCAAGGTACATATTGCCGCTTACGAAAGTTTTTTATGTTGTATAATGTGGACATTTTTTTTAACTTTTTAAAGTTTAAATGTTATTTGAAAAAACTGAACTTACCAAACTATTTTTTCAGGGTATTCTGAAATGCAGAGAAATTGTAAAGAATTCGTAAAGATCTCATCCGATTTTTTCCGAATCTTCTAAAATGAAAGAAATTGAGCACACTTTAATTCTTTTACGAAATTTTGGAAGAAAATCGGTAATGCAATGAAGATAATGCTGGTATGAAGAATTTCTTGCAGAATTTTTTCATAAATTGCTTTATTTTTCACCCAGAAATTCCTTTACGAGTTCGTAGAATGGTGTCAACCCCTTCATATAATTTTCTTTGAAGACTCGTAAAAAAATCGTTACAGAAATGAGACACTCCTAAAGGTTTCGTTAAGATTTCGGGAACTTTGGTTTGCAGGGCAATTGAATATACCGCACGTTGAATACGGCGAGAAAACGCAGTCAAAGTTTGATCAATTTATACAGTTTGTATACAAAGAGACAGTTGAAAAGACTCATATCTTCGCAATTTTTGGGAAGTTTGTCCATCTGTTAGGCTGAGCATGTTCTACTTATGAAGCTTATTAATTATATGATGAAATCACCAAAAACGTTAATTTTGAGTTACATCTCTATATATAGAATAACCTACGGGGCCAAGCTGCGATTGGACGTAACGCGCGCTATGTGGGACCGTTATTGGGAATTGAAGAAGGAATCGAGACGTATTTGCCGCAAATACGAAGAGAATTGCCGAAATACGTGGGTGCGAACAGCTTCAAATTCTGGCTGACAGGAAAAACCCCGAAAATTTTACCAGAGAGTAAGCGGACTTATGGCAAATTTCAATAACCACGCCGAGATGCTGTAAGAAAAACTATGGTGACTTAGTGACTGAAGTCCAGAACGTACTTAAATAATGGAGGGAACACTTTTCCACCCTATTGAATGGTAGCAGCACTAAAAGTTGTGAGGAAAACGAACCCGAGGCCCCAGTCGATGACGATGGAGCCGATGTTCCACCACCTGACTCTGACGACGAACGAATAACAATAGAGCGCTTGAAAAGCAATAAAGCTGCTGGAGCTGACGGCCTGCCCGCTGAGCTATTCAAGTATGGCTGTGAGAGGCTGATAAGGTGGACGCATCAACTCTTATACAGAATATGGTGTTCTCTGCCCGATCTGCAAGAAAGTGCATTAGCGCCAACTACCGCTGGATCAGCTTTCTATGCGTAGGTTACAAGGTTTTATATAGTGTATTGTATGAAAGACTGAAGCCCGCCGTCAACGTACTTATTTGACCTTATCAGTGTGGCTTAAGACCTGGAAAATCCACCATAGACCAGGTATTCGCAATACGCCAAATCTTGGAAAAGACCCCCGAGAAAAAGATCGACCACACCATATATTAGTCGATTTCAAAGCCGCTTTCGATAGAGAGCCGCAGAATTGAACCACCCAAGGACAATTTACTACAAAGGCGTGCAATCACTGGAGTATGCCGATGATATCCACATCATCGATAGCAAAATCCGAGAGGTCTGTTCCGCCCTTTCAAAGTTGGATAAGGAAGCAAAGCGAATGGGTTCGGTGGTAAACGAGACTACGCGTCTCCTGTCATTAAACAAGCAGTCAGTGCATTCGCGCCTTCGCACCCACGTCACTGTTGACAGTTATAATTTCAAGAAATTAGAGAATTTCGTTCACTTGGGAACCAGCATTAAACCGATAATAATGTCAGCAACGAAATCCAACGCAGAATCACTCTTGCCAACAAGTGCTACTTTGCACTGAGTTGACAATTCAGAAGTAAACTCCTCTCTCTACGTGGGAAAATGACTCTTGATAAGTTGCTCATCATGTCCGTGCTGGTATATGGTGCAGATGCATGGGCAATGATAAAATCCGATCAGACCACTCTTGGAGTATTCGACAGAAATATTTCATGGGAGATGTACGGGCCCTTTCGCACTGGCGATGAGGAGTACCGCAGACGATGGAACGATGAACTGTTTGAGTTTTATAACGATATTGACATAGTACAGCGAATTAAGACTCAGCGGCTCCGCTGGCTTGGCCATGTCGTTCAAATGTACTCTGACTCTCCAGATCTGAAAGTGTTCAACGCGGATCACGATACTAGTAACAGAAGAAGAGGAAGGCTTACTATGCATTGGAATGACCAGTAGCCCGTTTCTGTAACTCTTCTCTAC